TCCCCAAGGTCATCTCCCCCTCCCGCCGGACGACGCGGCCTCTTGAGCGTGTCGCGATGGACCTAGCCGGTCCGTTCGGCCAATCCAGCGGCGGTGCCAAGTACGTGATGCAGATCCTGGACCACCATACCAACTACGGATGGATTTGCTTTCTGCGGGAGAAGAGCAGTACAAACGTGGTTGCGGCCTTTCGTGCGTGGTATGCCTCCATCAAATCGCTCTTGGCTACTCACGGGGGGCTGGGCTGTGTTCTGACCGACAACGGCACGGAGTGGGTCAACGCGGAGTTTCGGGGGCTGCTGGCGGAGCTGAACATTACGCGGGAGCTCACGGCGGTCGACGGGCCCAAGAGCAACGGTCGTGTGGAGCGGAGGATTGCACTAGTGATGGAGGGGGGCAAGGCTGCGTTTCTGGAGTTCCCGAAGCTTTTCCCCGGAGTTATGTTCCCGACCAAGGCGCTGTCCTTCCGGGCCATCTGGCCCGAGGCCTTCGCGTGGATGAACGACTCTCTGAACATTGCCGCGGAGGTGAGGAAGGAAGACAAGCAGTGCCCGGAAGTTAAGCTGTACGGCAGGAGGAGGATCCGAGTGCTTCTGCCGTTCATGATGCCCGGTCCCCGCAATGGCCACCGCACCAGCTATGCACTGCTGTCCTCGCCCCCTTTGGCCGCGATCCCAGCTATGAAAATGGTGTCCGCTGCCCCGATGGCCCAGCTCCCACCGCTCAGACGCCAATACCCACTACCAACACCAGGCCTCACAATATATTGTGTTTGGGTGCGGTAGCTCGTCAGAGGCCGAAAAAGAAAGAAGGTTGACTCAAGACCTTGTTGCTTAGAGAGTAAGGACATGCGGTAGGCCACACCATCGCCGTGCAGCATGTCTGTCAATACATTCCATCCGCGTACCCCCCGGAGGCCCCGTAGACAGTATATTCTGTCGTGCACCCCAAACAGTGTTTGATGTTCGTGAGCAGGCAGGGATAAGGATACTCCGCTCGCTTCGGGGGTGAGTGATGAAGTTCGGGAACGAAGCTGATTTTTATCTACGGCCGGCGAGGCTCTTGGCCCAGCCTAAATAACGGCAGCATAGACGTCGCGTAATCAGTCCAGAGCGGTAGAACAGCACAAAAGGGCAAGGCATGAGAGGTGTGTGTTCAGACAAACTCAAAATCACTAGTAGTCCAATCATTCATGTGTTACGTGAAATTCATGTGTTAGGTGTACATACACTATACCCCTACAAGTCTTGGTACAAGTCTGACTTGTACCTTCAGGGGATATTCTGTACACCTTACACCTTGGGCTTGTTGTGGTAGCGCAGCAAGCCACGTATGCATACCAGGGGGGAAAGGGAATAATAATGAGCGTCTGCGGGGTCTGAGCTGAGCGCGGACAACGGAGAAAAAAACTGCGGCGAATGAAAAGCTCGAGCGAGTGAACTATGAAAGACAGCTGCGACGATAGGCGAACGATCAGACCACCAGAGGCCAGACAGAGGAGGAGATACAAGAGAGACGGCACGCGAAGGCGCCCAGGGAGGAGGCTCGCAGAAAGGTCACGGGCGCGCAAACCTCGAGGTAGACGGAAACGGAACGGTGTACAGGAGATATATTTCGACCCGCCCGTCAAGTTGTTGGGATTCGGGTGAATGTACCACTCGAGCAGAAAAGAGTCTCCGGTGTGGAGGTCGACGGTTCTACGACATCACCCGTCGTCATTTGGCTCACCCTGCCGGGATCCGGGGGAGAACCTCATTCAGGGTACCAGATTTTGCACCCATACAGGGTGCCATATGGCAAGTTTTCCCCAGGGTTACCCCCTCGACAAGGTGTCGCTTAGGTTATCACCTTGACAGGGCCGGGGTGTGCTGGTACCTTGTCAGGGCAAGGCCTACCAACCATGGCAGGGTGAGGCCGGATGTGCACCTTGGGGGGGGGGGGGGGGTGTACTCATAGTCGTGCATGCCGTAGTCGTTAGACCATTGACCTCGCATCCCTACAAAGCCGTTGGGGGGGGGATGGGGGGGGGGGGTTTTCGAAACGATTTTATTTTCTCCGTTTCCTACGGTTACAGTGACTCCCGCAGCACCGGCAACATGCTTGATACGCAAACAGGAAACACGAAGGATGACAAAGTACACGCCGGAGTATAGACCGAAAAGAACAGCCGGCGCTAGTATCAAATCCATGACACACCGGTCCATCTGTCCTAAGATTTTCCGTCATTCGACGCATCTCTACACTCCGTACACGAAACAGCGAAGAGTACCTGGTGATACAATGCCCTCTCCGTTTCGTATATATATGACGCGCACAACACTACTCTATTCGAGAGCTGCGCGAGACATGTATCAAAGGTACACAGGAAAAACAAAAAGCATAATCCGACACTCACTCCGGGACGTGACGCCAAAAGAATCGACGTGGACTGTGGACGCATTCAACAACCCCCCTTGGAGAGAATCAAAAACATAAAAGACGAAGACCGCAAACGCTGTGTGTGGGACGCGCCAAGCGCCACCCCAACAGCATATTTTACTCGACCAAACGTATCATCACATCATCATGATCACAGGTATAGTACGAACTGATGTCATCAAACAAGACTAATGCAGACATGTATCCGCCCCAGAGATTCACCTAGGTATCAAGAACAACCCCCTCCCCGAAGCCGCCGAAGGCTTCCGCCGTCGGTCACAGATAGACGAGGAAAAAGACCCGCCACCAACCGCCTACTTCACTAAAATGCAGAAGTAGATCACACAGAAAAAATAAGCAACAGACAAACGTTGCCGTGCTGACCAACCAGGCGACAGAGCAGCCTACATCCTGAGCAACATGCATCATTCACCATCACCACGAACGTCGCGCAGGTCTCCATTGCGCGACGTATTACGCCGCCGGTGTATAAAAGAAATGTAGCTCCGACGCATCCAAAATAATCATACAGAAAGAGCGCAGAGGTGAGGTCGGGTGTCCAGGACGATGCCATCCTCCGCGACAGGGCGTAAATATCTTAACTGCATCAACCCCCTGGGGGACACGAGACAACCCAGCAGTGAAGCTCTGTGAGAGCCAACACATTAACTCCGCGCAAAGCAATACCAGCAGCAACTTCGAGGTTAAAGTCTCTCCCCTCCGAAACCCACTCCAAAACTTGTCAGGCATACTTGTGTGGAGACAAAAGCTGCCGGCGCCCTTTGACCGCCCCGACGATGTTATCGTCGACGCGAGCGACCTCGAGGAGTGCCTCATCAACATGTCGCCCTGAACTTCATCGGCGGTTAACCCGTACCTCAACAACATGTCGCCTTGAACTTAGGGCGACATGTTGATGAGGTACTCCTCGAGGTCGCTCACCTCGACGATAACATCGTCGGGGCGGTCGAAGGGCGTCTCGCGAACCAGTATCTCCTCGTCGCCCTCGTTCGAGACCTCGGGGCCAGAGAGGTCGGTCTTCCCGCTTGCGTTCGATTGTCGAGNCAAAACTTGTCAGGCATACTTGTGTGGAGACAAAAGCTGCCGGCGCCCTTTGACCGCCCCGACGATGTTATCGTCGACGCGAGCGACCTCGAGGAGTGCCTCATCAACATGTCGCCCTGAACTTCATCGGCGGTTAACCCGTACCTCAACAACATGTCGCCTTGAACTTAGGGCGACATGTTGATGAGGTACTCCTCGAGGTCGCTCACCTCGACGATAACATCGTCGGGGCGGTCGAAGGGCGTCTCGCGAACCAGTATCTCCTCGTCGCCCTCGTTCGAGACCTCGGGGCCAGAGAGGTCGGTCTTCCCGCTTGCGTTCGATTGTCGAGCGGAAAAGACAAGCGAACGCGATAACGTCATGATCAGAAGACGTCAAGATTAGTGCGAGGATGACGGTCTCTTTGTGGACAGGGCTTTGAGTTTGACGGATCGGGGGGGTCCGTATCGATCTAGTCTGAACGCCGAATGAGCTGTATTGAGGATGTGACAAACAAAATACGGCTGGGTGGGAAAAGCTTGCCTGCGAACGGCGCGATGTGGGCGACGATGCTCTTCTTCGTGAAGTCCTTCTTCGGGACGCGCAGGATGGGTTCGGCGAAGCGGAACTGGCCCGTGGCCCGTGACGCATTCTGGAACTCCTTAGCCTTCTTGGTCTTAAAGCCTCCGTTCATGCGGTGAGCGAAGGCCTGCAACCGCCGCTCCGCGAGGCACTGGTAGGTCTCCACCTCCCCGGCGGTCTCCACCTGCAGGGTTTCCGCATCGCAGAGCATGTGCAGGACTAGCGGCACTGAGACCTGTTGGCGCCGATCGGGCAAAAGGGGTGGGCGCATACAAGCAGGCTTCGGATTAAATAGGAAAGATTGCCCCAAGAAATCATTGACTCTCAAGAGTCTGTGGGGGAGGCGATTGAGGTACTTTGCTACATTTCGGACTTAACGAACCTAAAGCGGATGGTGCCAGAAACGCTTCCGGGTTTCTCACCTTCCTCGTAAACTGCTTGGGGAGTGTTTCGCGTCCCCCGTAGACGTGGAACGCCTTGAGGTATCGTTTTCCGGTGGCCCGCCGCAGAAACCGGGAAGTCCAGCACGGAGTCCTGGAAGTCCTGTACCGCCTGCGGGTGCGTTGGCAGGAGCAACTAAACAGCGTTGCAGCGGCATGACAACCGTGGCTAGATTCGAAAGAAGAGATGCCGTGACTATCCCTGTTGGACTTTTTATGCAGGGAGCGAGTCTGGTGGTCCTTGGGCACTTGCTCGCTTGCGAGGGTATGACAATATCATGCAACGCTACTACCAAACTTGATGCTGTGATGTGAACAGAGCAAGCGGGCGCGAGGGTTTAGCTGTGCGACAAGTGCAGAGCACCTAGTGTCGGTGTTGTCGACCAGTGAGACGGAATACTTGCCTTCATGTCCGGTTCGAGATGGCGCGCCCGCTGCCGAGCGCCCCGGAAGATGTCCTCCAGGGTGAAGGAGTCGTTCTCCAGGAATTCCTCCTGGACGAGCACGAGACCAAGCGGGATGACGGCCTCGCGAACTATCCCGTGCAGTGTTGCGCGAGCAGCGGCGATGGCTGTGATGAGCTTGTCTGGAACGGCAGGACAAGCAATGATATGTCAAACAAAGAACACGGGTGAAACGTTTACGTGAAGGCGTCGAAAGGCATCACCGGCAAAATCTGTGCGCACGAAAACCAGGATGTGCTGGGCGGTTGGCCACGACGGGCGCCACATACATGTTCATTGGGCTGCCATATGTTCCACGAAAGGGCGGTCCGTGTGCGTCCGACGGTTTGCGTGATAAGGCTTCAGTTAAACGCTTGGCGCGGTGCGTGGTGCGCGCCGCGCGTGCAGCTTGTAGGCCGGCAACACAAACATGGGCGAACAAGAAAACAAGCTGTGTAGGATGTGGATTGCTATCCCGCAGGTCAGGATAGACACACTCAGGGCGGGGCATCCCATTTCCCATGCTATCACCACCTTTTGTACACTCGACGGGCCCAATGCATGATCACAACTACGGAAAATTCGGTTACACAGCAATAGGCATTCTTCGTCTACGCCAGTGGAGCAAGATATCTATCCGTACCGATGAAAAATACGTCTCAACCACCAAAACATAATACGGACCCGTGCCGGGGAGCGGGGGTGATGGTTACCGTTTATTTTTGCAAACGTCAAGCAACTCGACGAGGAATAGGAGGGGGGGGGCACAACATCACACGCGAATCAATTGGCAGAGTAAAAATACAGTACGTGAGTACAAGAAAGCAGGCGTGCTAACCCGAACAAGGGGTGAAGACACAACCACGAGAAGAATGGCGCGCCAAGATCAAAGATGCAAGACGAAGAAAAAACAAATATCAAGACGACGAAGACACTCACCAGCTGCTGGTGTGACTCCTGGTGTGAGGGTGCCACGGCGGACATGAGAATGCCGAGGAGGGTCGCCTTGGACACAAGCGAGATGCCCACAGCAACCAGTGCCTGGTACAATGATTCGCCGCTCATATCCGAGGTGATGGCCACTGAGCTTACACGTCCGTCGCCTCCTCCCGGCGTGTATGAAGACCCTCCCCCGATCCGGGTGAAGCTGGGCGGGGCCGAACATAAGTCAGCAGTTCCCCAAGTCGTGGCTTGTGCCGATCCCTCGAGGGAGGCGTAGCCGACGGCACGCCCTCGGGAAGCCGTAGAGCTGCCGCGTCCCTGGGACGACAGCCCCTCGGCGGCAGCCGAGGTGCTGGGGTCGGACGCACGGCGAGAAGAGCCGCCTTCCCCACCGTGTCCAGGTTGGTCCGTGCCGCCAGAGGTGGGACGCTGGCCCGTCGTCGCGGGGCGAGCAGTCGTCGAAGCCGCGGAGGAAGGCGGAGCCGCGGAGGAAGGCGGGCGGGAAGCAGCGGAGCTCGGTGCTGACTGTGTACGAGCAACAGCTTGACGAGGACGGTGGTGAGAAGCCCCGCCCGCGCCGCGAGAGGACGACCCACCCACCCCGGGGTGGAATGAGCGCCGAGCGCCGCCGAGCATGCCGCTGGCGCGAGATGTGACCTCGGCGTCGCTCGCCGCGCTGTCCTTGGTGAACGGGCGAGGGCTGTCCGTGAACGAGCGAGGGCTGTCGTCGACGAACCGCATCGGCGGGCCCGGCTTCCTCCGCTTGGGCTTGGCCANTGGCCCGTCGTCGCGGGGCGAGCAGTCGTCGAAGCCGCGGAGGAAGGCGGAGCCGCGGAGGAAGGCGGGCGGGAAGCAGCGGAGCTCGGTGCTGACTGTGTACGAGCAACAGCTTGACGAGGACGGTGGTGAGAAGCCCCGCCCGCGCCGCGAGAGGACGACCCACCCACCCCGGGGTGGAATGAGCGCCGAGCGCCGCCGAGCATGCCGCTGGCGCGAGATGTGACCTCGGCGTCGCTCGCCGCGCTGTCCTTGGTGAACGGGCGAGGGCTGTCCGTGAACGAGCGAGGGCTGTCGTCGACGAACCGCATCGGCGGGCCCGGCTTCCTCCGCTTGGGCTTGGCCAGGAGGTCGGGGCTCGGCGAGTCGCCGCTGGTGTCCAGCGTGCACTCATCGTCGCTGTCGGTGTCCGCCTGGCAGTCGGAGGGGTGGAACTCCGACGCGGAGTCCTCCAGGTCCGATTCCTACGAGAGCACGGGATGAAAGGCGCGACTAGGTTGGGGGTGGTATATCCGTACGCAAACTGCGGAGAGGTGGAGAACCAAATCGCTAGCCACCTGTGTCGCAACCCCCACAAAAAGAAAGAAACTGTGTTGAAAATGCGAGGCGTATTTTCTGGTTCGGGATTTTGGGTCTTCGCGTCCCCTCCCAATTTATTGTTGCCGCATCAACTCGTGCCCTGCACATGCCGACAACTGATGCTCGTCACACACAGAACTGGGTGCAACGAAAAGAGCACGGGCCCTCAGGATACTTTTTCCCCTCGTCCGCAAGCAGTATATATTCCGTAATTTGTCGTTGGCGAGGAGAGCAGCTGTGTGAGCGGTGCTGCACAAACACGGGAGATGCTCTATTTTCGAGCGCAATTTTGTAGCTTCGGCAAGCAATTTCAATCGACCGACACGGGTTGGAGAGAGCACCAGAACGCTTGAAACACGGCCACCGTAGAGATACGTATACGAGAAGGCACCCTGCTAGTCCGAATTTTCGATCTGGCCTAGAGCGCTCAAACCGATCTTGCCTCTATGCTGCTCTGTGATCAAGACATCTGCAAAGCGCGTTTTCTTGTCTGCCTCCAAAACCATGAGAAATGGCTTCCGGATCTGGTCAAATCGCCAACTTCTGCCAGGAAACGCGGAGGCAATACTCAAACAAATGGCCCGCCACACACAGCTGTTGGTAGTGTATCTCAAGACCCCCTTGCGAAGTCCGAATTTCGGATCGACACTACAGCAAGAGCTGTGGCGAAATAACTTCTTCTCCCGGTTCTAAGAAAGAACATGGGGGGCCACGTGTGATAGATTCTTAAGGACAAAAAAAAAGAAAAACACTAGTTCTTGTGTGGGTTGCAACACAGGTGCAGCTGCGCCAAGGGGTGGGTACGAATAAACACACATGCGGTAAATGAGGCGTACAGCACCCGCCTAAAACAGTCGGCTAGCTACGTGCGTCTTGCCAGGCCCGCACGTCTCTCAAACCCAGGAAAATACACTACGGGGGTCGGTGGATGGGCGCCGGGTGGGGTGGTGAGGCAGCGGCAACAAAAGAGAGGGCAACCCGAATACACTTTCGCTCGAGACCCGCAACAACACTAACAGAGAGGCATTCGTTGGAAGCGACGGGGAGGAGGACACAACGCGTACGTCTGCACAAACATACCTCCAAGGCTGCGATAGAAGTTCTCTTGGGCCTTTTTCCCTGGCGGGAGGAGTAGGAGGCTTGACGCGCGCGGGTGGTGGACGTGCGACGAGAAGAGCGCCCGCGGTCGTTGTTGTCGATGACGGTAGTAAGGGGCTGGCGAGAGGCAGCGGCAGCCCGGCCTTGGACGCTGCGACGAAGAGAAGGCATTGGTGATGAAGGGAGCGGGGTGTGAGAGAAGAAGACCAACTCAACCAGCTCCTAGGAGTTGGTTTTTGGTGCCAAGGGTGACTGAAGAGGGGTGGGCGGCAAACGCTCTGCGGCGGGAGATGTGTGTGTGTGTGTGTGTGTGTGTGTGTGTGTTGTGTTTTCGTCCTATTTATTATGGCGACAGTCCCCCCATTTTTCGTGGTGAGACGTGCTACACTTTTCAGCGTATGTAGAGTACTAGACTTTTCAGTGTATTTTTTCGTACAAATACAACAATCCAGGGTCACACAGGAGGGGTAAAAACCAGGGCTTTTTTCTTCTTTTAATTTATTTTCATGCCCCACCTTCCTCCTGCGGTGCGTGCTGAGTTTTATTTTTATCGCGAAAGGGGTCCAGCTGTCCCTTTCCCTCGTCAACGGTGCTAACGTCGAAGTTTGGTACTCACGAGAGCTTTATTTAGCTATATTTCGCTTTCACCCGCAAATTTCGTAAATTTTTCACCCCATGGGGATTCGAACTCACGACCTCTGCGATTAGCGGATTACGAGGATACCACTAGACCACCGGGGCGACCGGCAGATGGGAGATGGGTGAATTTCTGGTCTCGCGGGGAAAAGGGGAACGAAATGGCCAACGGACCGGAGTAAACAACGCCGGAAAAGGCACATACTTAGAAGTATTACTTCAAACTCACATCACGGGTCCAGTGCTTGACGCTCGCAGCTTCCACCCGCTTTGTTTCCCCCTATTATCATATGGGAACACTCGCGGACTGAGCTGCGAGCAGGGCAATAACTTGCTGTGGCGGGAAGGGGGGCCGCTGGTTTAAAAGAGTTTACGTATGAACATGATTTACGGCACCCCTGCAAAATCACGAAATCACGAGAGACGGCACTTCTGGCATATCAGGCCCGCCAGCGATGCCAGGTTCGCCAGTGGGCGGACAACGGCCATCAAGAGACTCTTTGAGTTTGAGTGCGGTATGGGCGTGTGAAGGATGCGGCAAGGAATGCAATGCACGCAGTGGTGGAGGGTCGTCCCTTCCCGCCGTGAGAGAACGAGGGAACGATGCAACAGCCGATGCCCAAGGTGCGCTAAGTGTGGACAAAGGAGCACCAGAGCCGGTGCAGGATTTTTTGGCAACAACAGCAGTATGGGTGTTTCATACACACCACGTACTTGCTCGCTAACTGACCTGTGCCGTGCTCAAAGGTGCAGGTTCTTCATGACAACACGGGTACTTGCAACAAGCAAGATGTGGCGACGTAGGGCGCCATGCATATTGAACGGGACTTATTTTTTCCTGGTGGCTCGCGCTGATGAGACGCTGTGCGATAAATGTACACGAAAGATGCAACACACCGCACACCGCATGCTCAGCGAGCACCCTCCATTACGCATCCACTCGCAGACGACAGCTCAGACAGTAGACGCGCGGCACTGATCTCTCCTCAGATGGGTGGAATTGATAGACATATTATTAAGCCGGGGTACAGCCGCAGGCGCTATTTTAGGTGATCGTATAGGTATACCGTGGGCACAGCGAGGGTTTGCATTGCGGCCCTGTGACACGAAAGCACATGCGCACATTTTGTTCCGGACTGTAGTCATATACGCTGGAGTACGCCGGAGTAGCTCGTGCTGCTCTACATGATGGATGCGAGTAGTAGAACGTTTGGTATGCAGGTTACCCTCAAGACCGCACCTGATCTCCGAAGAACCGACGGAGTTAGTTTGCACGTGATGCTGTCTGTGGAGCTGGATCGGAACTCAGTACATGACTCGCAGTAGAATCAAAGGCCTCCGAGTACATGGATAAACGCTGGTGTTGTAGCTGACCTACACAGTCGCACGAGAGAACTAGGCCTCACGAGAGAGAGAGAGAGAGAGAGAGAGAGAGAGAGAGAGAGAGAGAGAGAGAGACGTGGCGCGCGCAAGCACGGCTGGAGCAAGGGGGGGGGGAGCACTGGAGACCGTCGTATATACGCTACGTACCAATCGACCACGACACAATATGCGACCCCCGCCAGCTAACCACTATCACATGTTTGTGCTACCGTCTGGTGGTGAGGATAAAGCACCACACCATAACACGTGTGTCGTCATCTTGTGCTGCTCGGTGTGCTTTGCGCCTGAGGCATTGCGAAGGAGGTGGTGGAGCTTGAGTAGGCAAAGCACAAAATGAGGGTAAGCACGTCGAATGAACGCCTCGCGTATAGAACCTTGTGCACATTCCCCGGATGCTGGGCGTTTCTCGACGAATCCTCATGAGTTCGCAATCAACGTCTTCTTGGTGCCGTCAAACGAACAGGATCGCACGGAGATAAGGTGCCCGACAGCACGTCCGACGCCGGGGCAGGGGACGATTTCGGTGGTGCGGGTGACGACTCACACAGCGCTGATGGAAGAGAAGATGAAGACATAGGCGCCGACGGTGGACTCGACGACATATTGGAGAGGATCCAAGAGAATCTCGGGGTGAGCGGGGAAGGCACGGGCACGGACGACGAGGGTACCGTCGAAGACGGGGGAGACATGGACAGCGGGGGCGAGGAGGGTGACATCGGCTTAGACGATGAACGATACGACGATTTCCAGGGTAACGTGGACAACAGAGGGACCGATGGGGCGCCTGAGGTAGTCCTGCCACCTGAGGTATCCCTGCCTCCTGGGCAAAGTGGTGGCGCATAATCTGCCCCCAGGTTACATAGGCTTCACACGATGACGCCGTCTTATGCATCGAGTAAGACGGTGGAGGGCGGCGCCGAGAAATTGAGAGAGAACACGAAAGCCAGACGTTTTCCTTTCTACCCCTTTCGTACGAAGGAGCATCAACAAATTTTCGTCTGGCAGCATGTACATCGGATCTCGCAAAGGGCGTTGGGAGGGCTTTTAGAAGTATTCTTGATGCAGTACGAGGGCGAACCGTTTGACGTACGTGGGCTCGCAGGCGTCGACCCCGACCACTTCTATGATCGCATGCGGCCGTACTTGCCCCTGCTAGAGCTGCTGGAGCGGGACGTTCCGTCGACACACGACGGAACGACGTCGTCTGTCGTGTACGACCTCCCGGTCAATCTGCTGCTCGACCGTGTCATGCAGATTCCGTCTGAGACTGCGCTGTCGGAGGCGTACCCGGGAGGGAAGCTATTGCGCGGAGAAGAGGCAGCCGCAAATTCGCTGACGAGTGACCACATCAACTGCGTGCCTACACGGCGAGAGGGAACCGTCATGAACTCAAACCACAACGGCACCCTCGCGACGTCAACCCCATTCTTCGGCTTTGCCGGCATACGAGCAAGAGTGTGCGGGAGGAAGGCATACATCACCGACACTTGTGTTTGCGAGGTCGAGAGAGTGGCTACCCTTTGCCGAATGTTGGAGATCTTCTACGATGGAGAACGTCGGTTGGTGCTAGTAACCGTGCGGCTGTTCAGGGGGGCGAGAGAGGTACGGGGCGTTGGGAATGAGGAGAGACGTGGCGGACTGTTACGGGTGTGGGAGGATTGCACCTGCAAATTGGAGTTGAAGGCCAACGACGTTTTTGGGCTGGTTGAGATGGAGACGCCGCACGAGATGGCGGCAGCTGGCCACCCGTACCCATGGGCCCGCTTTTTCGGAGAAGGTTCTGTAAGACAGGCCAGTACCAAGCGAGCACTGCAGAGTAACGCCAGGCCTAAGCCGTTCGCGGTTACGGAGTCACCGTGGTGCGCCGAGGGTTCCGCAAACAAGCCGCTTTGGGGGCTGCGACGTGAGGGCGTCCATCTCAACGACATGAATCTGCCCTACTACTCCGCGTCGACGGTGTTTCACTGCGATGCATTCAACGCCTTTGGAATGGGATGCAAAGTGAGAGTGTGGTTTTGAGATGGTTTCACGCGAAGATATCGGAACATGTATGACACACGCAGGACCACCACTGTTCTGTTATTGCGGGACGTCCCGCCAGATCTAATCCCGAGCGGGGGTGATTAATTCGCAATAGCTCACCGTGATTCCTCCATCCTTCGTCTATGCACATGCATGCGATGTTGTGGTTCACAGCATTCCATAGGAGGGTCCTACTTTGGATGGGCTTGGCGAACGCCAGCGGTTCAGCGGTTGAAACATCAAACGCTCGTCGGCACTCTCGCGAGCCCGGGAGCTTGCAGCCAGGGGGAGACCGGCCTGCAGTGCGAAACACTCGGACTGCTACAAAATGGATGCCTGGGGCGGTGCAAGCTGACAGACGAAGAAGGGGCGGCGTTTGAGCAAGAGGTACGGTCTAGGTTCACAGTTTGAGCAAGAGGTACAACAGTACTTATCTGTGCGTACCTTCGAATGTTCGGGTGTGGAAGCGGGGTTTATCATACAGTATGAGTTGAATAATTGGTTCAGTTCATGCCAATTTCCCGTACGGCAATTTGTCGGCGTTAGGTATGCCTCTATTAGTGCGTATACGGGTGCCGGTGGCCTTTGCTCGGGTAACGCACTATTATCTGACTACCACTGCACCAACACACCGACAAAATTGCGGTCCCGCCACGATTCCGCAAAATTGTTGCCACCCGCCAGGTTTTTGTTCGTGGCGGTCTGCTGCTGATGTGTGAGGATGGACAAGGGCGCTCGAAATTTCTCGGCACGAAGGCTCCCAACAACTGGTCCAAACATCCGTGCGCGTACTGCATGGTGAGTCAACGCGACGATGACACCGGCGGCGATCTGGGGGACCCAAGGTTCGACATCGACAAGCATCACCGCACATGGGGCCAGATAACGGATGGTTTGTCCGAGGCGGATGCCCTCACGGATGTCCCTCACGAGCAGGATCGACGATCAAGAGACCTGGGACTGGTTCCGCCGTATGCCTCAGGGCTCCTCCTCCCTCTAAACACAGCCATGCGCATTGTTCCGACAGAGAACGTACCCGTCGAGCGACTGCACTTCGATGCGCTGGTGAGTGATGTTTTCATACAAATTTACCCTGCGTGTGAGAGACTCCCAGGGGACACACGTTGACCACGTCGAAAGATGCCTAGAACTCCAAGCGGAAGATTATACGCCGTCCTCAAGAGGTTCGAAATTCCGACGCATGCACTTCAGTAAGTAGTGGAACGACGGTTGTTGTGATCGCCCACACCATCACCTCGTCGGCTACGTGCTGCACTCTCTCCTTGTCTGCGCCGCATCTTACCGCCGTTGCCGGTAGGGGCAAAGTCAGCTTTGCCAGGTGTTTTTCTTGGAGATGCTCTCCACTGCAGGTCGCCGGCTTGTCTCAGTCATCATGACCCAGAAGCCGTCTTTGCTCTACCCACCCGGAACGCGGAAGCTGAAGCATGTCGTGACCAACTACGCTTCTCTGAATGGCAGCGACAAGTGGACATTGCAATCGATCATGCTTCTCGTATTCTCCCCTACCCATGACCGTGTACCTGGTGGTCAGGGTCTCGGAAGCGCGTGGTGACCTCTGTCCACAAATCGTTCGGCGGCCCGACTGATGACGTGTCCAGGTCCTGCCGGGTTGCCTGCAAGCGGCTCTCTATGAGAAGTGGGCGGATGGCGTCTTCGCACAGGATCCCAACGAGCCGCATCATGCAGTGTGGGCCCTTGCGCTCCGTGTTGCTGCCGCTCCCTCCGACGGAACCATCCCCGTCCGGTCCGGCTGCACCACCCGTCGATGAACCACCAGTGGAAGCACTCCCGCCCGCAGAATCCCCCGTTCCCGCTTCGTCTTCCTTGGCCAGGGCGTCGTAAAGGTCCACCGCACTGTACTCCACATTATCGACTTTAAACGGCACTTTACTGTCACGTGCTATGGCGACCATCCCGACAACGTTTCGAAACGTAAGGAGTGCTTTGGCAGGGATGGCTCCCTCCTCCTCGTCCTCCTCCCCGTTGCTGCGTCCAGATTTGCCTGCGCGAGCATTGGGGATAGGAGAAAGCGGCCCACACAACGAATAAGCCTTCGCATGAGAGGACGCCTCGGGTGTACACCCCCAACCGAAGCAAAACTCCATNCTCTGTAGATTGTTGAGCTACCGACATAAGGAACGTTCGTGGTCCTTGTGGTTGGAATAATCTTGTGGACGCTGCGCTAGTCTGAGCATGGTATCTTAGTTCAGGTAATCATCCCGAGAGTTTGTGGAGTGTAGGAAGTCGCAATGGTCCGAGGACTGGTACTGAGATACTGTAGAACGTTGCTGGTGCTCCGGAACGGTTCCGGAACGTGTCCGTTGGTTCGTTGGTTTCCAGGAGTTCGCAGGGTATCGAGGACACGGCTTGCACACCGTGCTCACTCCACTTTCTGACCAGTCTCTCCTGACAAGGGTCTCTTTAATTCAACTACTTTTCCCCAGAAGCTACCGCTTCATCAACACGCTATAGCGGATGATTAT